TCCTGGTCCTGGAGGGCCGGTGTCCCTACAGGGTTTAGCTCCATCTTGCCTAAACACACCTGCCTGGATGTTTCAAGTATACCTTGTAAGACCTTGATTAGCCTATTCAGGTGTTTTTGATTAGGGTTGGAGCTAAAATCTGCAGGACACCAGCCCTCCAGGAACAAGTTTGGTGACCACTGCTTTAAATCCTCCAGTAAATTCTACTGTGGTTGGCCAGTAATAAAACTATAGAAGTACTCCCTAAAGGTCATGTTTCTGAGATCAATTAATAGAAATGAACAGGCAGTACAGCACACAATATGCAAATTACCAGCACTTCTTACACTAGAACACTTCGCTCTTATCACCTGGTCTACAAAAGTAAATGAACAACTGTCAAACTACTGAAGAACAAAGCATCTACTGCTGTCTGGTGCTCACCACGTGTTCCTAGTTCATCCTCCTGACGAGTCTGTTGATCTGGTCCTCCCTGTTTCCTGCATCGCCTCCCTCCACAAAGTGAGTGGTCTTCTTGTTCATGCCACCACGAGGAGAGGACAATTTGAATGGCCAAAGGAAGTTATTGGCAGCCTTGAAGTTCTTCCCAACAGTGTAGATCTCATGGATGAGATCCTCAATGCAGATGATTCCACACTGACCTGGAGAGATGAAAACCATCAGAGTGAACCCGTATAAATGCTGCTGAAGCCACAGCTAGTGTTCAGGTAGCTTGTCCTTACCGAGGGTCTTCTCAATGAGAGAGTTGTCTGTCAGAGCAATGCGCTGCTTCTTGATCTTGCCAAATCCACGCTTGTAGATGAGCTCCCGCACTGATTTAAGGTTGGGGTAGCTATGAAAAATAAGAGGAAAAAAACATTTTAACATGTTATTAAGCTACTCAAGACTACTGTTAACTACTTTAAGAAACCGTCACCAAAAAATTTACTCAATCCCTCAAATCACATTGCAGTGCTTTTTAACCTGTGGCCTGTGATGTGATTACAGGAGAGCTACCAGCTGTTATAATGCAATTAATGTATATAAAAATGGCAAGCAGGGCTGCACGATTAACCACTAAAAGATCGCAATCTCAATTTCTACAATTCAGCCAATTATATTTTCAAAGTCAGGAGAGAAGCATAAAGGTGGTCTTTGTTTTATGTATGTGTGTGTATATATATATATATATATATATACACACACACTCTCATGAACATTGACAGACTCCAAAAGCTGTTAAGAGTCAGCATGCTGTATTTATAAAAGGTATAATTCACCCAAAAATGTAATTTCTGTCTTCATGTAATGACGTATATGCTGCCGTGACATCACACGAGCTAATGCACTGTTTGTTTACCAAGGAGAGGATGCACACAGCAGCAAATTAGTTTTATTTTAGTGAACAGAACCGGCATAGGCTGTGAATTAAAGGTGATAAAGGTGTAAATATCATTTTGCTTATTGTTTTGAAGGTTTTGCTCTTTAATCGGGAACCATCTGGGTACAAATTATGATTTGCATTTATGTTTTTTTCTCTCACAGTTAAAGCAGCCATGAGCCGCACACTGCGAACTGGAAGTGCACACATTTAAATGATCAGATCACATTTTAGAGTAAAGATTACTACAAGCAAATGATATGGTTTTTCCTTTAAAGCAAACAGTGCTGTGGATGAGAATAAACATTTAACAGTGTCAGTACAACTTCTGTAACCTATACAGGATTGAATATAATCCAACAAGGAAACTGATAATAACAAATGTCTGATTTTACCAGTTAAAAAGTACATAGGATAAAAAGTACAAGTATAACATATTGCAAGCATTTGTTTCAAACACAATTCAACTTTAGAACTATAAATAGCTATATTTTGATGTCATCACTAGACTGTGGACAAATTTATGGTCTGTTCAAGTACACCGTCTCAAGTCTATACAAAATTTAGCATTTTAACCAACAATAGACCTATGCATAGGCCTATTATTATTAGATTTTGTTTTACAAGAAATAAAGGTTAATATGAGTAGGCTATTATTGTTATTTTACACCTACAGAATCGTGAGAAAATCAAGATCTTGATTAAGCAAAACAAATTGTCATTCTCATTTTATCCAGAATCATGCAGCCCTAATTACAAATCATAATTTGAGGACTAAAATAACAAGAAAACTAATAAATTCACTATTTAATTTTGCAGATTAGTTTTAATAACTAATTAAACCATTTTTGCTGAACGCATGGCTGTCAACAGGTCCAAAGCTTCAGTTCTCTGTTGGTTTAAACTGCTTGTCTGCCCTGTCACCTGCACCGGAAAAACCCAGTGCAAGTGGGACAACTTTTGTTAGGGAAATGCTGGTTCAGGGGTTAAGATACTCATGTTTGTGTGGGTTACAAGTGCTTAAAATTATCCATGAGACTCCCACAAAATGAATATGTAGATTGGTGTCCCATGAAAAGGCTTTTTAGAAAAATACATTGAATTGTAAAATGTTTGGATTTTTTTTTGTGCCACTAAATAGGATAATATTTTGTTGAAATTTTTCACTTAAAAATGTTACATAAACTTTTCTAAGTCTTTATGGTTACAATTTATTGCATTCTTGCAAAAAATAACCCAAAATCATAATACTGTTAATAATTCACCAATCATATCAATCCAAACACCCAAGATCTTCATCTACTGATCCCAATTAAAAACTTAGATCTCTAAATCTTTTATCTTTATATAAAATTTAAAACCTCTATAAACTGCAAAGTCTTGAGACATTTAAAGTTCAAAAACAAACTAAAAACACTCAAAACATCCAATCTGACTCCAGTGGTTCAACTGTAATTACACGAAAAACATCCAATCTGACTCCAGTGGTTCAACTGTAATTACACGAAAAACATAACCAAAACAATTTAAACTAGTTTATTTGTGAATGTTTTCTCTCTCATCAATGTGTGCGTTTATTATGAGCAACAGGATGCAAACCGACACCTGCCAAGACTGATAAGGACATACACAAACAAGTCTTCTTGGAGCTTTATATGCTTATAGTTGTACCACTTAAGTGACATAGAATGTTTTCGGTTCCTTTTCTGTCTCATCCATTGTTGTGCTGGCAAAATGAAGCTGTCTAAAATATCCTAATTTGTGTACTGAATGTTTATTTTTTCAATTGATCTTTCCTAATCTTGAATAATGGTAGTAAACCATAAGACGGCAGAAAATAAAGCAATGACAATCACAATTGAAACATTAACCTAAATATCAGCTTTACGTACCCCCAGGCAATGTAGGGCTCTGCAATTCGGAGCATGTTGATGGAGGCCTTGTTCAGTTTGACAAAGACACCGTTGAAGATCTGGCGGAGACGAAGCAGCTGAAGCACCTTGCGCACTTTAGGGCTGACACCATTGATACTGAGGACAGACAAAGCATCCCAATCAAGCAACTTCCAAAAGACAGTTTGAGTTTATTCAAATTGATATTCGTGGTGGTTTCAGAGGATTTGGCTTATTTTCAAGAGGAATCAGCATAGTCGATAAGACGGGGAAAAAAGAGCAACATCATTAACCACAATCTGTGACGGATTAACAGAACCAACACTGGAAAGTCAAAAGTTTACCCTCTGATCCTGATGACAAAAGCCAGTTTGGGCTCAGCCGGGACGTAATAGTTTCCAGCCTTACGAGCCATCCTGCTCATGCGGATTTCACGCCTGTACAGCTGCTTGTACTCCTTGTGGTAAGCTTCAGCTCTCTTGAAGATGAGCTTCCTGGTGACTTTGCTGGCCTAAGGGACAGAGCAGATTTGGCCACATTAATACTTTTGAAAAAATGAGCCTTCGTTTATAAATTAAAAGAATAAATAAAATGGATAACACTAAACCACCAACCTTCTTGTCAGCCTTCGCTTTCTTCAGACGTACGGCCCTGATGGCAGCGAACCGCTGTCGCCTCTTCAAGAGGCTTTCTGGGACTGAGGGAATCTTCTTCTTCCTAAATAAGAATAACAGCACATGTCATTTCCTAGTAAGCACCTTTGACATACAGACAGGGATATCGTCACAGTTGTAACAAAAATAAGTAAATATATAAACTACACCACACTAATATTTAAACAGCATACAAGTCAGATACTGACTGTAACCTGCACGACCATTATGTATAGTGTCAGAAAACCAGTATTTAACACAACCTTGCCAAAGACCAAACAGCATAAATATGGTTTGCTTAATCTACACGGCACAGTTAATCAGCCGAACATTAGACTTAAGCATATATTTATTAAAATATGCTAGCGCGGTAGCATCATGCCTTCAAGTTAGCAGCTAGCTAATGACAGTTGATAAATATTGGATATACTAGAGTATTTTGTAACAACGCGCCACACTTTGGCATTTTTCTCCTACAGAACTGCTGATCTGGACATATTTTAATGTAATTTCATAAACTGTTGCTTCACACGTTGCTGACCGAATCAGCCGATGGGCTACACGGACAATCATGCGAAATGTATTGATTAATCACACCGCATACTTGGCAATTTTCACATCTTAAGCGTTAAGCATATATGCGATGCTCATTTTGTTTCTTATAACTATAAAAAGAGCAATAACTAAACGGATGGAAGAAGATTTCACCGCACGGTTATCAACTTACGTTTCACCCGCCATTATCCCTACAGTAAAAGAGGCTTCTACGCATGCGCGGTAAGGTCTTATAAGGCAGGTCCTTCTTACTTCCGGTAAAATACGAGGTCTTCAAGTATATGCCTGCATTTTAAAACATTATATTCTAGTTATTTTGCTATTAAGCATTTTTCTGCTCACGTCAATATTTAATAATTAATATAAATCCTGTAAATATGCGCTCAGCCTCGTAAAGGTGTACACGCATTTGACGCAGAAGTTTTGGTTACTTTGCATAACAGGCGGACACACGCGTGGAAAGTTGTGAAGCCCAGTGAGTTGGAGCATATTTAAAGAGCTGGAGCTCCTCAAAAACACATTGTTTTGGGCAGATTTCGTGGATGCTGAGGGGTGCAGATTTTGGTTAAACAGGGTGTTTCTTTTATCACGTTTGCGGTTTGATTTCTTATCTAGTTTCATTTCTTGTCGATTTAGTTTGTTTAGTTTGTCGAGTTGAAACACCATGAATATCGCCACCGAGTTGTTCGTGGTCACTTTTAAAATAATCTGGTCGTTCGTACTGGCCGGTGCTAAATGGTTTATTCGTCCACGGGAGAAGAGTGTGGAGGGCCAAGTGTGCGTTATTACCGGAGCTGGAAGCGGTCTCGGGCGGCTGTTTGCGCTCGAGTTTGCCCGCAGACGAGCGACCCTTGTGCTGTGGGACATCAACCGACAGAGTAACGAAGAAACTGCAGAGATGGCGCGAGAAATCTACCGACAATTGAAGCCCTCCACCGGTAAGTTTACGCGTAAACTAACAGTGTATTTGTTGTTGATGTTGGAATTTAGTGCAGTAAAAACAATATAATGGGGTCTTAACCTTAAAGCCACGGACCCTAGAATCTTGGGTCTAAGTTAACGTTAAATGTGTTTGTTTGTTTGTTTGTTTTGTGCTACTTTTGTTTTTTCACATATGTCTTATTAAATTGTTTTGAATGTCTTTCAAAATTGTCTTTGTTGTTGTTTATGTAAGTGTGTGTTTTAATCCGTTTGGTCACATTTTAGTCTTTTCAATTGAATATTAGTAAATTAATTACCTGTTTTATTAGTTATTTTAATCTTGTATTTATTGACTTATTTTATATATTTTTGCAGTTACTTTTTATATATAATTAAGGTGATTTGTTAATTGTATGTTACTTTTCGTTTTTAATATCACTGCATTAGGCAATGCAGGTGTATTAGCTAGTTGTTGAAATGTTTCATGAAACCATTAAAATATGACATGACCCTAAATTAAGGTAGGATAAAAACCAGGTATGTGTGCAGTTTTTTTTTTTTTTTTTCCCTCCAAATATTTTTGCCTTATGTCTGTGTTATGTTTGTGTTACAGGGTCTTCAGATAGTGTTCAGGAATTGCCTCTTCTCCAGCCGAAGGTTTACACGTATATGTGTGATGTCAGTAAACGTGAGAGTGTGTATTTGACTGCAGAGAAGGTTCGCAGTGAGGTGGGAGACATTGACCTGCTTATCAACAATGCTGGAGTCGTGTCAGGACGACATCTTCTTGACTGCCCAGATGAGCTTATCGAAAGGACAATGATGGTCAACTGCCATGCTCACTTCTGGGTCAGTAAATCAGCACCGTTCCTGTCCAGTCTTCATGCTTGACATTCATTTTTAGATTCGGAATAAGATTTGAGTCCTAATGTCGGAAGTAGTTCATAAAGTTGATGAACTGGCCACTCCAGGATAACTTTTAATACTAGGTGAAGATTCACCAATGTTCTGTTTATCAAAACTCTTTATCACAGAGACATTACTTTATTAGATTGTACTGGTTTTAACCCAGTAAGAAACCTCCTTTTTTTAACCCTCATATTTGAACTAATCTTTAACAAAAAGTTACACCAAATTTAATTTGAAATATTATATAAATTATGAAAGCGTGATAGTTTCATTCTAAAGTTTATTTTCACTTAACAACGATCTTGCTTCTGTTTGTATGAATAATCTTATTTACAGACTACAAAGGCGTTCCTGCCAAAAATGCTGGAGCTGAATCACGGACACATTGTAACTGTAGCAAGCTCCTTGGGGTTGTTTACAACAGCTGGTGTGGAGGTAAGAAATTTTCTTTCCATCTTATATCTAGTATAATATACACAGTGCTGGCAAATTTAATCCGTATTGGACTACATGTTCTGTTGCAAATATATTGTGTAATGTATTCTAGACATTTTAGGTTACTTTGTTATAGATTACTTTTGTCTGATCTGTGTCAATAACTGACAAATTTGTGAATTAAACATTTATATTACATTTTGCTTTTTGACACAGAGCTTTGTTTAGAAGAATCAATCAAAGGCAAATGAAAACCCTTAAATGTATTTGTTTGCCGCTTGACCAACATTTACCTGTACTGTTTGCATAAGTTGTATATTTTGTCGGTTTACAGATCTTTGAATTACATGAACTGTAAAACCAACTGAAAATATAATCTAGTTTAATTACAAACACTTAATTCTTGCAATGTGATCACATAATCATCTTCTACCCAGGGGTTCATTTTTTTTTGTACTACTCAAGATATAAAATGATTAAAAAATAATAATAATAATAAATAAATAAATAAACTTTGGTCAACAATTAAATGTAGTTTTTCTCTTTTTTTATTTTTGTTGTAGGACTATTGCGCTAGCAAGTTTGGAGCCATAGGCTTTCATGAGTCTTTGAGCCATGAGCTGAAAGCAGCTGATAAGGATGGGATAAAGATGACTCTCGTCTGTCCTTTTTTAGTTGACACTGGCATGTTTGAAGGCTGCAAAATTAGGTTTGTGCTTTTCACCGCATGCCCAGAATTTACTTCTGTTGACAAAAAACTAATTTGATTATTTATATATATATTTTTTTTATATATACTGTTTTTTTTTTTTTTTAACAGGAAAGAAATGGCTCCATTTTTCCCTCCACTGAAGCCAGAGTACTGTGTAAAACAGGCTATGAGAGCCATACTAACAGACCAGCCAATGATCTGCACCCCTCGGGTCATGTACATGGTCACCTTCATGAAAACGTAAGTATAAAGCATTATAAGTGATGATAAAAGGAAATATTAGCCCTTCTGTGAAATTAACCTAAGGTGATGTTTACGGACAAGGAAAATTTCACAGTATTTCCTCAGTTTTTTTTTTTACTTATTTTCCGTCTGGCTGGAATAAAAGCCATTTCTTAATTTAATGTTTTAAATAATAATAACCCATTAATTTTTTAACACTGTCCAATGTCTTTCCTATTTGCCTACTTGACCTATTAAAAATGCTCTAAGCTATATCTTGTAAATATTATGTACTGTCATGGCAAAGACAAAAATGAGCTATTAGAAACTGGTTATTAAACCTATAGTTTGAAATGGTGTTTCTGTTCATTGATTTTTGAAGGTCACAAATTATAGTGTATTCTTGGTTTTGTGTAAAACTTGGTTTGTTCTGTTGTCTTGCAGTGTTTTGCCGTTTGATGCCATTGTGTGCATGTACAAATTTATTGGGGCTGATAAGTGCATGTACCCTTTTCTGGCTCAACGCAAGGAGTCGACGAACAACAACGAATCAAAGACTGGAATCTAATTGGTTCTGATTGATGAATTCTGTGTAGTTCCTCTGGAACGATGAAAGCTGTACATTTACAAGTCCTTCCTAATGACATTTTACTGCCATCTTTTGAGATTGCAATAATGACTGAGTAGAGATTTAACTTTAATTATGAAATGATGTGTTACTGTAAGATTATATAAGAAGGTCTGTCACCTATTTATGTGTACACATTTTATTTGTTGTGTGTTGTTGCTTTCCTTTCAACATTCTATGACTTTGTCACTTTAGAGGTTTGATCCTCCCAATAATGAAGTGCAATATTGAAAGTATTTCCTGTTGCCTTTTGTGGTCTTGATGTGTTGATGATTTGGATGATGCCAATGATTGACATGAGATCATCAAAACATGCCATAAGTGCATATTCAATAAATGATGTTCAAATGAATAATGTGCTGCATTCTTTACTGAAGAAAACTGTTCTAAGCTTTATATTATTCACTTGAATTAAATTGGAGTCATGTCAGCTTTCCCTTAAATGAAGATTATATTTCAAGTTTAGTTGACAATACTGCTTGCCATTCCTTTATAATTTTATCAGTTTCTGAGTAAATGTTTTCACAGAAAATAAAGTTTTTGTGAATGCGAAGCTCAAGTCCATATTTACAACATGTACAAAGATTAGTAGTCTGTAAAGTCTTTCAACTGAAAACCATTTTTGTTTAGGTTTAAATGGATTTGAAGTATGTTAAATCAAGTCATTAAATAAGTTACCTTTCATACAAAGTGATTAGAAAAGTAATTTTATTGCAATTCAAATGACCTTATTAGTATATAAATACATTAGTAATTTACCCAACACTGGAGGAAACATTCTAAAACGTTAACAGTTAATAAACCGCTATAATCTCAGTAACAATGTACTCTGTCTACAACCCCAATAATCAGTACAGATCAGTTGAGACTGCATGGGAAACACAAATAAAAAAAAGATTTCTCAATTTGCTTTGATTTGTATTTATAACAGACAATACAACAAACATTATTTAATGTGTTCCTCGTGAATTTCATTTTTTCAAAATATGCACATTCCAATTTTGGTTGATGCATTTACACATTTTAAAAAAGTTGGAACAGTAAAGCATTTACCACTCTGTAATGTTGCCATTCCATTTCACAACACTTAAAAGACATTTAGGGACTGAAAACAGTATTAAAGTGTTTCTGGCGTAATTTTGTCCCGTTCTTCCTTCAAACAAGTCTTAAGGTGGGCAATGGCATGGGCTTTTTTATTGTTGCAATTTGCGCTTCAAAATGCGCCACACATTCTCTACTGGAGACAGGTCCGGGCTGCAGGCAGGCCAGTATCCTCTTCTTCCGCAGCCAGGACTGTGTGCAGAATGTGGTTTTGCATTGTCTTGTTGAAATGTGCATGGGTGTCCCAGAAAAAGAAGGCAGCATTGTGTGCTCCAAAATCTCAATGTACTTCTCAGCATCATTGGGTCACAGAAGTGCAAGTTACGTTTGCCAAGGTCACTGACACAACCCCATACCATGACACACTGGCTTTTGGACTTGATTCTAATAACACTCTGGATGATCCTTTTCTTCTTTGGTCCAGAGCACAAAGCATCCTTTTCTCCCAAAAAATACTGATTCGTCAAGTGCACTTCTGGACACTGTTAACATGAGGCTTCTTTTTGGCACAGTACAATTTTAACTGCTATTTGTGGATGGAACTATGTATTACTTGACAAAGGTTTTGCAAAGTAGTCCTGAGCCCATGTGGTGATATCGCTTATAGATGAATGACGATACTTGATGCAGTGCATCGGAGATCACTGTTGTTCCAACTAGGCTTGAGGCTCTGTCCTGCACGCACTGAAATTCCTCTTTTAATTATGTTATGCACTGTTAAAGGTGAAATATCCAATTGTTTTCCTATCTTTTGAAGAGACATGTCTGACAGTCAAAGTAAATTTAGAAATCACTACTTTTTTATTTGCCTGTCCATACTGTCTCAACTTTTCCTGCTCATTCACTTGCGGAAATGCCAGTGACCGTTGGAAATATCAGCCATCCTTATCAATGGAATGAGAGAAGCAGGGAATCACATTCAAATGCCATCAATCTGATAACAAATACTCCCACTTGTTCTTGGCTTGAGGCAAAAAAGGATTTCTTTAGTTCACAACTTCAAACATAAAGACAAAATCTATATATAGCAAGTAAAGCAATCTCTTACAGAATTATATAATATTTTAAAAGGAATAGTTCACACAAAAACAAAAGTGCACTTTACTCACCTTCTAGATGTTCCAAAACTTTGTAAGTTTCATTTTTTTCTTAAGAATGTTGGAAAGCGGTAGTCACTGATATTCATAAGGTGAACAAATACTATGTTAGTCAATGGCTGCTGGTTTTCAACATTCCTTAATATCTTGTGTTAAAAAAAGAAACTCAAACAGGTTTAGAACAAGTGAAGGGTGAGAAAATGATGAAAATGTTCTTTTATCGATGAACAATCCCTCTAATACAATTAGAATTTATGGATTCAAACACTGAATTTGTAAATGTTTGTAACTATCTATTTTGCCATCTTAGATGTTTTAGGATACGCACCTCTAACCAATGCAAAATCACATTTTTAAAATCACCAGTACAAGATGCTCATACAGGGTTGTGTATTTGCTGGGTTTGTTTTTACTAAGAAACACAATTTTACATCTGTTTATTATTTTATATTAAAAAATAAATAAATAAAAACATAAGTCACTCAAAATTATAAAAAAGCAAAGATACAAAAAGTTACGCTGTTATTCATTCATCTATATAATGTTATTACCTACAATGTTATAAACAGAAAATAAATGACTTTAATAATTTCTATACTTTTGAAAATGCACAAATAAAACTATCAAATAAAAAATAAATCTCTGCAATCTTTCTTGAAATAAAATTACTGTAAAGTTAAAACATCGCTAAAAAACACAAAATGTTGTATCATAATATATTGTTAAATTACAACTCTTGTTTTATACAATTTTATATTGTATTCTGACACTCCTGTTATTTGGCAATGTTTAAACGTTACAGTCATTTTATTTTTTAGATAAGATTGCAAAGATTTATTGTTCATTTCATTCTAAACCTTAAGATGTCATTTATAATGGATTTATAAAGCATTAGTCTTCACTTTAGATTAGGTCACAAAACTGGATGAAGTCGAGTTAATAAAGCATTAATTAACAAACAAAAAACTATTACTTAATGCCTAAATAATAAGATATAGAAACTTTCACTTGAACAGTTTTATTAATCATTTAGTTCTGAATGATGACAAAGGTTAAAAGTGTATCATTAACAAAGTATAAAAACACAATCATTAAGCATGTTGCATGTGAACTGAAGCTAAGCAGGGCTGAGCCTGGTCAGTACCTGGATGGGAGACCACTAGGGAACATTAGGTTGCTGTTGGAAGTGGTGTTAGTGAGGCCAGCAGGGGGTGCTCAACCTGTGGTCTGTGTGAGTCCTAATGCCCCAGTAAAAGTGAAGGGGACACTACACTGTCAGTGGACACCGTCTTTCGGATGAGACGTTAAACCAAGGTCCTGACTCTCTGTGGTCATTAAAAATCCCATGGCACTTCTCGTGAAAGAGCAGGGGTGTGACCCCGATGTCCTGGCCAAAATCCCTCTATCGGCCCTTACGATCATGGCCTCCCAATCATCCCCTCCTACCGAATTGGCCCTATCACTGTCTCTCCACTCCACCAATAGCTGGTGTGTGGTGAGCGCACTGGCGCCGTTGTCCTGTGGCAGCCGTCGCATCATCCAAGTGGATGCTGCACACTGGTGGTGGTGTGGAGAGACCCCCCTCATGATTGTGAAGCGCTTTGGGTGTATGGCCATACACAATAAATGCGCTATATAAAAAAGAAAAAATACACAAAAAATACACATGTGCTTTCAAGTCAAGAATACAGCATTAGTAGCTGTATTTATAAACTGCTTACTAATGTCTAATAATGTAGAGTTAATACTTAAGAACATTTAATTAACTATTTGCTAATGCTTAATAAATGTTTCACAGTGTGTGTAGTTATTATAAAGTGTTACTAGCTAAACAACCAAAAGAAACAGGAATATAAATTACAATAAAATTAATCACACACACACACACACACACACACACACACAAACACACACACACACACACAAAACAGTACCAAAAAAAAGTACTTAGTAGGAAAGCCCACTGATCTCTCAACCAAGCCCATTGTCAAATCTCCATAATAAATGAAGACACTAGAATCATCACTAAAGCACCGTCCCATAGAATACATAGAAAACAATAATAATCAATTCAGACCAAACCGGTTTCCCTAAAGGTAGTCAAGCATCTAACATGCAGACTCTTCCTAAATTCTCAAAGCAGAAAAAGCTTTTGACAGAGTCAACTGGAAATGTCTGTTTCCCATAAAGGCAGGTTTGGTTTTGGGGAGTCGTTAATTGTGGCCTAACATCTACGCTGGGAAACTAGATAAGGATGCCTAGACTCTTCTTCTCTATTAACCATCTTTGTTGAACCAATAGTCGCATGCAGCCGTCAGTCAAAATGAAATCAATTCAAACACTAAATATGCGCTTACACCATATAATAAGTCTACATGCTGATGATACATTATTATACTAAGATCTCAAATCCTCATTACAGGAAACAACCAAATATGTTCTTAAATATTTCTGAATGGTCAAACAGCTGGAGTAAATCTGCAATATATTTCTGACACCTGCATTCCAAACATTACCAAAACCTCAACAAAGTCCTCTGTGTACCAATTACATCACCTATCTGAATGAATGTTTCCCCCAGCCTGTCAGAGTTGTTTGAACTCAACTCCCTTACTTAAAAAAAAAAAAAAAAAAAAATATATATATATATATATATATATATATATATATATATATATATATATATATATATATATATATATATATAATAATAATAATCTTCAACGCTGGATGGACCATACTCCCAAAAATAAATGACTAATTTACAATGATTACCCACATGGACATGGTTTAAATCCCTAGACTCATTTATTTCAAAATTATACAGGAAAAACAAGACAAACAAAACTGACAACCTTACAAAAGACAAAAACACAAAGAGAACTTGAAGCACTACATTACAATGTTATACTTTTACCAATTTTACCATTTTCCACAACTTCCTCCACAAATAACTTTCAAAAAGTGACTTAAACAGACACCTTTATTAGACTAGTGAGTTATTATTATTATTACTATTATTAATTCAATTTCTTTATTTCTATAGCACTTTTACAATGTAGTATGTCAAAGTATTGACCAAAAGTAGATTGAGAATGTCAGTCCAGTAATAGCATATTAACATACTATAAATTATTATTAATAATATTATACTATTGATAACTGCTGTACAAGTATTGTTTGTTCATATACGTTAATATTAGTAATATATATAATTATATATAACGTTAATATACTTTACAAATAAAATGTGACCCATTTTTTGTTAGATGAGTGTTTTCCATCATAGCTATGCAAATATATATATATATATATATTTCAAAGCAGATATTAATTTATATGATTTTTTTATCTCAGAGTGAAAATATAAACCAAAATCTTTAAAATGTGCCTGAATTAATATTATATTTTAGTGATGAAGAAATTTAAAAGTCTGGAGTTGGTCAGTAGCTATATGGGATATGGGATAGCCTTCTGCAAGTGACCAGTAAAATCATTCACGAGATGATTCGAAAAAATGTTATCACCCTAAAAAAAGTAACTAAACTAGTGATCGAGTTTTTCAGTTTCAAATTTATGAGCTTGTAAATGTGCTATATAAGTGTTATTACAGAGAAATTGTTTACATTTAAATTAGCTTAATTAAAAACACAGAATCGATGCTTCTGTTGCCTCAAGTCCGGTGCTGACACTGTAGGTCTATTGCTACATCACTGACCAGTTATGACGCAAAGGAAAATAGAAAACTCCCCTATGAGGGATAATGGTAGACGTTGACTAACAGGCCTGACCTGCCCTGTTAACTCCCTAAAAGCGAAAGCAGCACGAGAAATCTGATACACAAATAACCACGCTCACTTCACAAGGAAAAGACACCCACTCTTGCCTTACTCATTTGGATGATGCCATTACACACACAGGCAGATTTCGTACGCGCAGATAGGATTTCCCATGAGGAAGATCCTAAAGCATTCATACTCCGTCAGACACACAGAAAATTCCGATCAGTGTGTTATTCATCAGATAGAGGACTAAGATTCATAGATCAAAGATTCAGAAACATTCCAGACCACTTTATGAAATATGTGGCCGACTATAATATTTTCTTTGAACGATTCACTAAATCAACATGAATCTCAAATAGCTACTAAGATTCCTTGTAACTTACTGTTTGTTCCTGTAGCTTTATTCAGCTAGATTGAAAATTACCAGGACAATAACTCTGAAAAAACGCCAGTCTTCTTAGTCAGCTCATTCATCCATCCAGGCTGGTTTCTATCCATTTCCAGCCAAAACCAGTGATGTCGAGCTTAAACCAGACCTGTTTTAGCTGGTCAATTTCCTGCCTGACCAGCTAGGACCAGGCTGGAAATGGCCAAAACTCCTCTTAAACCAGGCTGGTCAGCTTATACCGGTTTAAGCTGTTTTTTTCCCAGGGATAATATAAAGCGCGATTTTGTGTTTTAATGCTATGCTTGTTTAGCACATTAATTGTTCTTTTTACAGCATCAAGACTGGTCTGTAAGTTAATTACTTATGACCCATTTCAGAATAGCAGGTACATTTTTTCCATTATTCATACAGCAAATGAATAATTTACACTTAATGAAATCTATTATTAATGTAAAATCATTAAATGTAATAAGGAACATTTGACTGATATTAATTGTCTATATTATTGGTGATCTTTAAGAGTTGACAGTAACAGAGTTGATATCTTCCACCATTTTGTGCAAAGTCAAACCAGTTCCACATGTCTGAAACAAACTTAAGCATTTTCACCATATTTTAGTTTTTAAAGTGAATGAGAACTTCAGTAAAAATTTCCCAATATCGAGTTGACAAATAATTTACATTGTATCCTAAACATTTTTTTTCACACATCAGACGAATAAATGAGATGCCACGATAGCAGCTTCTCACCAGAAAAGTGACATCTTTTGGAATAGGCCCAAGTCACATGCTACTTTAATATATGCTTTTTAAATAACTTATGTAAAAGAGTTGACCAAAAGCAAAACCAAGTTGAACCAAAATATCTGTTTTTAACTGGAACTACATTACAAACAATGCAGAAAATAGATGGGTTGTGCTTAATTTAGTAAAGTATGCCTCCGCATACAGAACATTTATGAAAATTAGAACTATTTCATGGTATATGAAGCTGAATGTATGAAGATTCTGGAGAAGACAGTCAGCCAGTGAGAGTTTAAGTTAATATTTAAGTAAAATTTCCCTACACCTGCAAACATATTTAAAGACTTGTGTTATTATTCAATACTTTTTCATTAAAGTGATTTTAAAAACAAAATAAGGTTTATCTCAGAGATGCAAAATATAGGCTACCCGAAATTAATCATCCTTATATTTAGTAATTATTAAACTTTACCTTGATAAATTGAACTTTATCAAGTAATCATTAAAATATTTGTATTTCTATGCACATAAACAGCTGTTAAAAAACAACTGATAATAATAAATGTTTCCGTAGCAGCAATTCTGCATATTAGAATGATTTCTGCGGGATCATAACACTAAAGGCTGGAGTAATGATGCTAAAAGTTAAACAAACACATTCAGTACTATAATAAAATATTATTTAAATATTTCTATTTGGTCAAATAACAGTTGTTTAATAACTTAAATAAAATAAATGCAGTTTTTTATTTAAAACTCTACAGACCCTAAACCTTTTGAACAACAGATAAGTTAGCCGTCTTGCTGAAACAGCGCTTGCAATAAACATGAATAGAAAGTATCCGCGTGTAACCGCACTTCCCTCTAGTGGACACATATGAATTTACTCAAACTACCATTAAAAAGAGAGTTCACCCAACATTTAATACATCTTCTTTTGTGTTCAACATGAAAAAGAAACGCAAGCTGATTTGGAACGAGTCAAGAGTGAATAAATGATGACAGACTTTTCATTTTTGGGTGAACTATCCCTTTAATGGTGAAGTGTGCAATTTACTTGCTTCAATAATACCAACCCATTTTTCAAGTCAGCCAATGTACATTTCTAATGCAGTCTAATTGAAATACATGACAGCTTTTCAAAATATATTACTTTAATAAGAACTTTTCTCTTAAATAAAGTTATTAAATAAAGATAGAACAAAACAATGAAGACAAACTGGATGTTTCCTAAAGCTAACGGCATGGAAAACAATGAAGAATCATTCCCAGCACAGCAGGATACAACCATTAAAATCAAACTGATAATAGAACTAGACAGAGCTTCACATAAAAGATAAAGTGATTATGCCTAAAGTTATCTCTGGCTTTTACTACACAAATTGTTGGTCTACCTATAAAACCAGTGCTTCAATTTTAACCCATAATCGTTGTGTAATTCAAGATCACATAATATGATCAGCACCCCTTATCTAATCTGTACATATCTGTAACATTTATCAGAACATTATTATACACCACACCCAGCTACAAAATTCAACATAAAATGGCTAAAATATGCATGAACAAATTTGCCCTGTTCGAGATTCACAGTGCATAACCAAGCAGGAATAGAAAGGCTTATGATTACTGATCCATTACAATAGTTGCTTCTTTGACTTTCCTTATATTCCACACCCACACTGACATTATTATTATTGCACAAACAATGAAAACCCTTAGAGGCTTATGAAAAAACAAATGAACTATAAAACAAACATAACCAAATGAAAAAAAAAAAAAAATCCACATCTTGCTTCCATCATAACATGATAGCCGGGTGGGTTACATTCCTGCAGTTTTTATGCACTTTTTCCAGTCAGCAAACGTGTATGCCTAATCCACACTTTAACCACCATCCCAGAGTCTGCTGGTTCAGTCTTAACCCAAAGACTGTATCATAAAGTACTTGATGCACTTGGAAAAGTCTATTTATATATGAAAAGCTGAGGATACTAGCATGTATCATCTGCAAAACAGAAGAAGAAAATGAGAAATTAGCATACAAAGTTTGTTTTTCTTTCAGGAGAGTGTGTTTCTATCACAAGTTTACACATGACAAATGCTATATTGTTGAAATGGCGTTTGAATACTTTGGATGCCTGCTGCACAAAACGTTTGAACAAACTGTCATATATAATATTGTTCAGCTTGTTCAGAGCCTTGTTGCACAAAGCCAGTTTAGGTTTTCAACCCACCACCAGCAGCCTGAACTGTTGATACAAGGCAGGGTGGATCCATCGTTTCATGCTGTTGAACTACACGGTTTCAATTCACTATGATATTCTATGTGAAGCTGCTTTGACACAATCTAGATCGTAAAAGCGCTATAGAAATAAAGGTGTATTAAATTGTTGATGGCGTGACGCATTGGCGCAATAGATAGTGATGTCGCCTCACAGCAAGAAGGTCTCTGGGTCGCTGGTTCGAGCCTCAGCTCAGATGGCGTTTCTAGGTGGAGTTTGCATGTTCTCCCTGCGTTGCATGGGTTTCCCCCACAGTCCAAAGACATGCGGTACAGGTCAATTGGGTAGGCAAAATTATTTGTAGTGTGTGTGTGTGTATGTTTCCCAGAAAAGGGTTGCAGCTGGAATTGCATCCGCTGCGTAAAAACTTGCTGGATAAGTTGACAATTCATTCTGCTGTGGCAACCCCAGATTAATAAAAGGACTTTCGGTTAGCCTGTGCGAATTGTAGCCTCAGTTTTCTGTTCTTAACTCACAGGAGTGGCACCCGGTGTGGTCTTCTGCTGCTGTAGCCTATCCGCCTCAAGGTTTGACATGTTGTGTGTTCAGAAATCTTCTGCATTGATTAAGGAGTGGTTATTTGAGTTACTGTTGCACTTCTATCAGTTCGGACCAGTCTGGCCATTCTCCTCTGACATCAAGAAGGCATTTGCGCCCAGATATTTTCTCTTTTTCAGGCTATTCTCTGTAAACCCTAGATAGCTGTGCATGAAAATCCCAGGAGAAATACTTAGACTAGCCCATCTGGCACCAACAACCGTGCTCGGTTTAAACTGCAGCAGGTTGTCTTGACTTGACCGTGTCTACATGCCTAAATGCATTGAGTTACTGCCATGTGATTGGCTAATTAGAAATTTGCGTCAATGAGCAGTTAGACAGGTGTACCTAATAAAGTGGCCAGTGCATGTACAATATGAGGTATACATAATCGTTTTGAATTTTAGCATATAAGGGTTTCATTTGGAGCAAAAAGACGAACAGGGACTTTATTGGATCTGATATGTCACTTTTCTCACAACTGGCCCAGTTTTTTGTTTGCCATCTCTAACTCAGATTAAAATGTACTCCAGAGCAGCTTAGCTGTATAGTGCAAGTTACCAAGATAAAATGTCACCCACATGAAAAACAACACAATAGTTATTTATCATAAATACTAGTGTTTGTAAAGTGTATTATACTGTCTGCATTCTAGTATTTACAACTGTTAAATAAATAAATGCTGCTTCACAGCATTCTGTCAATAATTAACCCAATACTTCAACCTAATAAATCCTGTAAAATACTTTAGTTTTTACCACAGTAGTATAATATATCCGATAGCTTTAGAAAACTAAATTATTGGACAATGTTTATAACATTATAGTTATTGTGTTACCATAGTAACTATAGAATAACAGATTAAGTCAAGAACTTTAATATAGTATTCTTTAAAATCACTGTAGACTTTACTATAATTTATAGCATAGTTTTCTTTGTCATGTCTGAATATAAAATTCTACCCGGAGTCATCTTTTTTTTTTTTTTAAACAGTCCCCTTAAAATATTTTCTGAATAAAAATGTTCTCTGACATTTTTTTAAATTTATATTAACCAAACAAACTTCTTGAGCCTGAAATATTCAGGTTTGTTCAAACTAAACACAAACTTACGGGATTTAGGCAACAAGACTCTGAACAAGCTCCAACATGTTTACACTTACATTGTCCACTTGAGATAAAAAAGACAATAATGCATCTTATTGTCAAGAGTAAACAAGATACTAAATACTAACATAATTGCATCGATTTAAACATACACAGAGAAACTGGAATAGACTCACCATGATACCACCACTTAGTTTTCTTTGGATTCTTATTACATGTCTTTACATAAAAAGAATTATCTGGAGGACGTCTCTGAAAAGAAAACATCCATTAGACAGCTCATTAGACAAACCATAAAAAATGTTTTACTTTTGTGAATTTGGTTTATTTAAAGGTGAACTTTACCTTTTCTTTGCAGCTTGACAGCATGCTAATAATGCTTAAACAAACAGACTGCACAGACAGAGCTGGAGACCAGTCCTCCGTTAAAATAGATAAACAGATGTGACCGTTGCTATAGACGTGCGGATGGACGGGTATATTCTCTCCGGTGAACATAACCTACAGAAACAATCAAGATCAAGTAATCCATTGCACAAATGTACAAACTTTAAGCAATTTGAAATACATAAAGGAAAATTAAAGTGAAAATTAAAGAACATACATTTCAAAGGTGACTTATTATGTCCCCTCCCTCTTTTTTATATATATTTTTACAAGATTAAATATAACACTTATTTGTCTGCAGAACGTGTATATTGTTTCAGCTCACCACAAAAACACCTATCTGCTTTATTATGCCAGTTGCACTATTTTAAAATTATGCCTGTGTATTTCAAAAAAGTATTTCTCCATCATCATGAAAGCTTATTAAATTCATCTGTTTTAAAGTCTTGTCAATTTAAACTAATAAAATACAATTTTTTAGCACACATTAAAAAGCACTTCTAGATGGCACAATTTGTGTAAATATTAAATATGTCTTTACCAATTTATTGGATTTAATTTGTCAAATACACAAAATTATACAAAAAATGCACAAGGCTCAAATAATAGTTACATCAATAAACATTACCAGGTTGTATGGAAATATAAGAGATCAGTGTTAAAATTCTGTTATCATGAATCAAACTACATAGAAAACACTGAAAAGTAATTATACTAAATATCTTACTTGAATGCAGTGATTCTTGGTCATTTATGCTAAGAGAACTAATCAGAATATGAGGAAATCTACAACAGCATATTTTCAGACACTACTTATGATATTTGGGGATCAAAAAAAAGAGCTTGAGTTTTTTTAGCCATGTCTGTTGTTTACACACACTTCACTACCACATAAGAGGCAATTTAGCAGAACAGGTCCCCATTAAAATACATGAAAGAAGAATAATGTGTTCATTTTACCTGAGGTGATTCAAAAGGATATCGACTACTGAATTTGAAGAGCAGCTGAAACTTCTCCCCCTCATAAACAGTACCTTGAGCACCTTCCATATCTATAAACCACCTGGACAAACACAAGCACACGTTTATGAGATTCGAATAATTGATTCATTGCTTTGATTAAAGCACATCTGAATGTCTGTTTAATATTTTTGGCTTTATGAATACATCAACCAATAAGAAACCATAAAGCTTCTCTATAAACCCTCACAGAGGACCTAAACTTCCGTAAAAGCAATATTTTGAATAGTTTTTATTTTTAGAGAAAAGTTTGCAGTTTAAACATTTACAATAAAAAAAGGTTAACTAGTGTTTTTACAATAGGAGGACAGACAGTTCTCTTCTGAGTATTAAATCTATCCATCTTTTGAAGCCTTTGTGTCTTTTTAGAAGAATGCAAACAACTATTTGGTTTATATGACATCTTTTATGATCTCTATGAACTTTTAGAAGAGTTACATATTTGTTTGCATCAAATCTGGAAAGAAATCTCAGTTTTAATTAAAAATAAATGTAATTTGTGTTTTAATGACATATAAAATGTCTTATGGGATTGCATGGGCATGCTATTAAGGGCAACATTTAAATTTCTGGGTGAACTATTATTTTACAATTGTAATTAAAGTAAGCACATATCTTTTTTGTACATTGTAATGCACATCCCAGTGGAACAAAATGATTATGGATGACATATTCTGAGATGTGGGCATCACACTCAAAATAATAAGAGAGGTCCAGCAAATGTCATCAGAAAAAAAAAGTCTGTCATATCTTATTATGTTTTAATAAAGGATTATGGAGCAAAAAAAAGGAAAATAAAAAGTTCAGTTCAGTACAGTTGAAATGTTTACAATAAGACATAATATGCATTTAGAAAGCTCAGTGAAAACATGATGTACCCTCAAGTGAACAGTCTGACTGATATCTTAACATATCATATCTCAACTTACTCAGTGATTGTGTTCTGCACACTTCTCTCATTGAGAGTCATTCCAGCAGGCGGATCATTTTGTAATGCCAGCAACTCCTTTTGTAGTCGCTTCTGGAAAGTGAAAATAACTTGGGTTAATGCACAGAACTGCGTGTAGATACAGGACAACACCCGCGTAAACAACTAATACAAAGTATGCGAGATAAAACCGAATAAGTACGAAATATGAAACATCCACCTCAAATAAGCTCTGATTTCTGAGAAGTACTGACAAACACAACTAGCAAGCAGACTGCTAACGTCGAGCTAGTCCAACAAACGAGTTGCAGTGCTGGCGATGCTATCACAACAATGTAACTCTTTCAACTCTGCTACATTCTGATAGATAAATACAGTTTAAGTACCGCTTTTAAGCGTTATAGTAACCGAAGAGACGGAACAGAGTTTTGTTAGGCTGTCAGACTGACTGAGCGTTAGCGTACAAAGTAAACAAATGTGCGTTCGATTCAAACTGCGGACTTCCTGTTTTCAGATTACCACGGACAGAGACACAGGACGCAGCCTGGACCTGTCACCGATAAATGGGAAAAATTGTTGATAGTGCTATTTGAAAATTGTTTCTTGTTTATATAGATAGATACTCACCTGCATAGACGCCATGATGGAAAGCCCCTGCAGTGAGGCGATTGGCCGAATGACGTATGATCAGTTTTTTTTTTTTTTTTCACGGAACCGCAATGCAACAACATTCAAGAGTGGATATTACAGGTGATGAATATGCTTTACTGCTCAAACCCTAAAATCATCTCGAATCAAACATTTTAAATAAAAATATTATAACGTTTTGTGCAATCTACGCATAGGCATTGGTTATTTGAATGAGAAGACTCGAGCGAGATTGTTTTTAAGGACTCTTTCCTATACACATACCTTTACCTTCAGGTAATTGTACTTAAAATAGTTCTCGAACGCACTAATCTTTTGAGACAAGAGAACATGCCCCGCCCCAAATGCGTCATGCGTCGATGCGTTAAACAACCAGTTTCAGTTAAATGTAAAAGAAAAAAAGAAAAGAAAGAAAAAATTTAAATTTAAAAGAAAAATAAGAATAATAAAAAACAATACAACATCAGAAAAAAGTATAGGGTAATATATATGAGCACAGGCTCATCATAATTGGACAATAGAAGATTAGAAAAACGTTGCCTGAGTCTCGATTTCTGCTGCAACATTTGGTAGGGTCAGAATTTGGCATCAGCAGCATGAAAGCATGATCCATTCTGCATCGTATCAACCAGCTGCTGCTTTTTGGTCATAATTGATTTTTTGCCAGTTTTGCTCCCTGAAATAGCTAATGTTAATTCAACGATGGTAAATAGACCAAAATGGTCACAAAAATTTTTTTTTCAACTAAAATTAGATCACTTTTTGTGCTAAAACAAACATTGAATAAACGATTAAATGTCAACTAAAAAATAACAGAATTAATATTGAAATTTAGAAAGTTGAATTTTAGCAGTTTTGCACCCTTAAATAATGTTAAATGATTTTTTTATGTTTATGCTATATGCCCTATATACGCAACATCGGTTATCTTTTTGCAGCAATGTCAAGTGTGTTGTCTCTGTTAAATAAAGAAGTAAATCAAAAAAATAAAATATGTATGGAGTGTATCATGTGTGCGTATGTATGGAGTGTGTCGTGTGTATATGTTTAGAATGTATCATGTGTGCATATGTATGGAGTGTATCGTGTTTTTGTATATGTATAGAATGTATTGTGTCAGGCACGTGCACACATAGGGCTTAACCTGTGCAGTGCACATGCCCTTTTTAGTCTTGGATCGAAAATGCCCTTCCAAAATGATCAAAAGTGTCCCCGCGACGCAACACACCCTCGGTCCCGCCCTTCAGTAGGCGCGCGACAACACCGCTCTTGAGTACGCGTGCGACAACACAGCTGATCAGAACGCGCGCGACAACACAGCTGATCAGAACGTGCGCGACAACACTGATCTTGAGTACGCGCGCGACAACACAGCTGATCAGAACGCGCGCTACAACACCGCTCTTTACTACGCGCGCGACAAGTCCCGCAAATGCATAGAGACTCCTGGAACATCCAGGAAACTTGGGATGTCTGAATATCACATTGAACAACTATAGTGAGACATGATCCAGCGATACATCCTTGATAAATTCTCCAAATTGCACTGCTCTCTGCCTGGAGCTCAGAGGAGCGAATGACTGTGTGTCTGTGTGTGGCTCTATCTGTGTGTGTGTGTGTGTGTGGTCACGTGATGTGCGTTTTAAGCGGGCGGAGGGCTGTTCAGAAATGCTAGGTAAAACGGTGCGGATGTGGATAATTTTCGTTAAAAAGTGGCATTTTAACACGAAGATATATTTTTCGCGAGCAGGTTTGCGATTGGGTGGGGCGGAGAATCGTCGATGCGGGCACAGCATCGTGTTGTTTATTGGCCATTGGCGATGGAAGATGGCATCGTGTATCAGTCCAACCCTAATATGTATAGAGTGTATCATGAGCATACTGTATATGTTTAGAGTGTATTATGTGTGTGTATATGTATAGAGTGTATTGTGTAATTTTTTGCCTTGCCTAACTTTGTCTCTTATTGTTGTTTGGATTCATCAACTACCCTTAGATCAGTGGTTATGTGACTCACCTCACCTAGATTCATCATCTTCCAGTATCTCAGTTGGTTTGTGACTCACCTATCACGCCAGAGACCCAGGTTCTATACCAGACCCTGACAGGAGTGTGTTGTATGTATAGATATGTATATGTATTATATGTATAGATTGTTTCATATGTCTGTGTATATGTTTGCAATGTATCGTGTGTGTATATCTAAAGAGTGTACCGTGTGTATATGCATAAAGTTTATCATGTGTGCATTTGTATGACGTGTCTCGTGTATATAGAGAGTGTGTGTATAGAGTGTATCATATATGCATATGTATAATGTGTATTGTGTGTATATGTATTGAGTGTACAGTTTCATCATCTTCCAGTAGCTCAAGTGGTTTGTGACTCATCTATCACGCCAGAGACCCAGGTTCTATCCCAGACCCTGACAGGAGTGTATCGTATGTATATGTATAGATTGTTTCATATGTCTGTGTATATGTATGCAATGTATCATGTGTGTATATCTATATGCATTGTATTGTATGTATATATATATATATATATATATATATATATAAATATGTAGAGTGTGTGTATGGAATGTATTGTGTATATATGTAAAGACTGGATCATGTGCGTATATTTATACAATGTATTGTGTGTGTATATGTAAAAAATGTATCATGTGTGTATATTTAAAGAGTGTATATGCATAGAGTGTATCATGTGTTTATATGTATGAAGTGCATCATGTGTATATATAGAGTGTGTGTATATATGTATAGAGTGTGTGTTTATGTATAGTTTATCGTGTGTGCATATGTATAAAGTGTACTGTGTATATCTATAGAATGTATTGTGTGTGTGTATGTACAGAGTGTATGGCTTTATGATCCTCCACTAGCTCAGTTGGTATGTAACTCATCTATCATGCCAGAGACCCAGGTTCGATCCCAGATACTGATAGGAGTGTATCATGTATGTATATGTAAAGAATTTTTCATGTATGTGTGTGTGTGTGTGTGTATATCTAAAGAGTGTACCGTGTGTGTACATGCATAGAGTGTATCGTGTGTGTGTGTGTGTATAGAGTGTATCATGTGTGCATATGTATAAAGTCTATTGTGTGTGTATATGTATTGAGTGTACAGTTTCATCATCTTCCAGTAGCTCAATTGGTATGTGACTCACCTGTCATGCCAGAGACCCAGGTTCTATCCCAGACCCTGACAGGAGTATATCGTGTGTATATGTATAGTTTGTTTCATATGTCAGTTAGGGCTTTGCAAAAATATCAATATATCTAACTATCGCAGAAATTTATTTCATGATTGTGTATCGATAGTCCAACCTGAAGTATCGATTCATGTTGTGCCAAACAACCTCCTCCTTTGCTCCAGTAGATGTGGCTAACTCACTATCAACAAAATGCTACGTAGTATGGTATCAGCAGTAAGCAGGAGTGAGCATAGTGGAAAATATAAAGGAGCCTCCAGCTTTTAGAGCTGACGTTTGGCTGCACTTTGGCTTTAAAGGTTCAGGACACGCTGGAGAACAGTTAAGACAATGTTAGCACCTGTAAGCTTTAATTGTGGGGAAAACTGGATAATTTTGAGCTTTTGTCAGCTAATTTCAGCTTCCGGGTTTGAAATGATTTTTGGGGCGGGATCAAAATCGGCGACGTAGCGCAGATCTGCAAGTGCAATGATGACGCGTCGGTTTCTCATTATTATTCATAGCGGAGTTTTCTTATCCTATGAGAAGAGCCGGCTGCTTAATTATTCATGAGAGCATGCTTTCCGAAGGCAGACCTGCCAGTTTTAAGCAAGCTGTGAGACACAGACCAACGGCACGTAGCCGTTCATGAAGGCTCGTATGTGTTTGTTTCCATGATCCACGGGTTTGTTGCATGTTTTTTCCCCGCGATCCTGTCAGGGTCGATCATACAGCAAAGCTGTGTGTGCTGCAAGCATTTTTGTCGGGAGAGCAGTGCGAGAATTGAAGAATGGCGGACGTTGACTTTTATCAGGAGTTCGTTCACATTCAGACACATCGCTGTGCTGCTGTGTTTGCCTAAATCCTCTATATTACCAGCAGGGCTAATGGTTAAAACAGGCACGTCAGGAGACCTGCTGCACTGAGTCTGCATTCAAGATCTATAATTTAGACACGGAGATCGAGGGAGATTCTCATTTATAGTGTTTACATAAACACACTTATCTTTATAATGATATAAATTGTGGTTACGTATATATGAAATTACGAATAACAAATGTTGCAGGGCATTAAATTACTGTTTATTTCTTTGCATTTTAACTTTGTGAACTATAAACTCATGCGTCTCCTCACGGTTTGTGTCTCAGTTTGTGAGCTAACTGTCAACAACAGTTATTCGCTCCCCTTCTCCCCTGCTGGCCACGCCCACTCCTGCCCGATGCTCGCGGAGCTCTACGCCCATTAATCATGCATCTTTTGAAAAAATTCTGAAGTAGACTTTAACCGAAAGTGGGGGGTGTCATGGCCCTTTAACACTATACCAGAGTACTGAATTAGACAAAAAAAATGCCATTTGCAAGCTTTGCAAATCTATCTTAAAATATTCAGGAAACACTACAAACTTGCGTTATCACTTAACAAGACACCACGCAGATGAATTAGCGGCACTGCGACCTCAACCGAAACCTCTTCGAAATCTACCGAAACCTACATCATTAACAAGCTTCTGTTTGCCTTAACTAACATTGCAGTGTTACTGAAAACTGCATAGGAAGAATGGGACATCAATTGGAATGACCTGTCGTTGTAACCGACAACGGGCTCTATTTTGACGGTCCATGCGCAGAGCGCAAAACGCAGGGCGCAAACGCTTTCAGGGCGTGTCAGAACGCATTTTTGCTAATTTAAGGACGGAAAAATCCGCTTTGCGCCATGGCGCATGGTCTAAAAGGGTTGAGTTTATTTTCTTAATGAGTTATTGGTGTGTTTTGAGAATAAACTAATTAGAGCCACATCTCCCATTCCCTTTAAGAACCAGC